ATGAGAAACTATGGTGATAATTATTTAAAGCCTTGAGAAATAATATACTACTAATTTTCTTAAAAAGTTCTCCTCAAGCGCAATTACGATTAGAACTAGACTTGAGTTCAAAACCGCAGTTCTATGACCAGAGCTTGAAACTGCAGTTCTAGGACCAGAGCTTGAAACTGCAGTCCTAGGACCAGAGCTTGAAACCGCAGTCCTAGGACCAAAGCTTGAAACTGCAGTCCTAGGACCAGAGCTTGAGACCGCAATCCTACCAGACCTGAGTTTGCAACCACAGTCCTATTGTTATTAAATTTCTGTGAGACCACATGGACTAAAACACAGGACTGGACTGCCTTGTATATTGGACTGGACTACAGGGATTGAAGTCCTGATTAGACTGATAACATCTCTAGTCTCCAATATGTCATTTCCCTTTTCTACCAAACCCTGTGACTTGGGGATGATGTGGATGACCATTTATTATCATGGTTTTTGGGTAAAGAGCTATCAAATCTTTTATGATCTGTGCTACAAATTCTTTTCCATTATCTGAATGTAACATTCATGGGGGACCAGATATCATAAAGATTTCAAATAAAAAGCCAGCAACATTCTTCACCTCTTTACTCTTCAATGCACTCATCCAGGAGAATCAGGTAAAATATCCCTTGTGTGAGCTATCCAATGATAGTCTCCATCTTGCTGTGCTCTCATGTCAATAAGATCATCTTAGAGAACTAGTCAGTATTTGCTTTGGTTAATTATTGGGAAAAGTCAAATAATCTATACCTGCAGTCTGGACAAAAATTCTAACTCAATAATCAGCTTTATCTCTGCTGAGGTTTTTAACAGTCACCTGCTTACACATGTGCTACATGCTGCAACACACTTCGCTACAAGCAGACGCGGCACCCAACTATATTGTAATTGCTTACAGATCTGAGAAAGATATTAGCATGACATTAATCCAAGAGAGTATACATTTAATGTTACTGTGTTTACTATAACTTCAAACAACTTACACAGCTGTAAGTCTTTTGATAACCTGCATGCTGTAATTCCTTGTGTAGGTTTCCAATTATGTTATACAGATGCTCTTTTACACATACTAATTGTTCAGATTTTTTCTCAACTAAACAAACTGATTCCCCTACTTTCATAGTTGCAAAATGCTTTCTAACCCATTGTTTTAACTTTGCAGAATGTTGTGAGCCATCACTGCTTAAGACTTCCTTCGCAATATCTGCAAGCTCTTGCGAAATTAAAGACTTTGCTCAAAATTTTGGTTCCAAATTGTTGAGGTATTCCTCAACTAAGCCTATAAAAGTTTTATACAAATCATATACTGTCAGGAGTATTTTCGAATGCTCTGGAAAAAATCTGTTCAGATGTCATGCTTCACTGTAGTATGCTGCGCCACATTAATCAGCGCAATCATAACTGAATATCTTCAAAAATAACAGCCAACACTCCTTCCCAGTTTTCCATATAGTTCAAATAATCTTTCTTGTTATTTTTGCTTATTTCTTCAAACTATGAAAGAACTGAAGAAAAAAAGTTTTAATAGTGTTGAAAATTTGGCAAGGGCTGTTTAGCCAGTTGTTGACACCACCCCAAAAGCTGACTATAGGAAGTCCTTCTAGAGTTGACAGTACTGTTTGAAACATTGTACAGATGTCAATGAAGACTACTTTGAGAAAATTAAATTGTTTTTTGAATAATTGCATTTAAAATTATCGAAATAAAGAATCGGCGACAAAACTTTTCAGCCCCCCCACGTAATTCCAAGACAAGCAAAGTTAATTAATTTGTTCAAAATGGCTGCACTATCAATATCTTGATTTCCGAGAAAGATATGCTCAAGCCACACTGTCATAGCTTCTTCAAGTTGAGGCCACTTTGGGGGACGTTTTTTTTTAAATTGTGCTGATGAATTACTTTTTTTATATTTAATAGATAAAGTATTAGTATGTCACCAATCGTACTGCTTCCACAAGCAAAAATTTCTGCAATTCGATTATGAGAAATCCCATCAATTTTCGTTACAATATCCTCACTCTTCTCATTATTCTTTATTATCTGAAATGAACGAATAAAATCTGAATGTAGTAGGACATCGATCATCAATAGTTGCCTGCTCGATTTCATCGAAAAAACAAATATACAACGTCAGGTATATTTTCTTCAATAGTTTCTATTTCGTCCTCGAAGCTTTTCAACATCTCAGTCCAATCTTTCGTAGAGAAGAGTTTTGTTTCTGGGTGAGTCCCAGTGAGATCGACGATTTCCCAGTAAACAGGACTATTGAGTAGAAAAAGTTCACGAAATATGAGCATTGTTAAAAGATCCAATCACTAGTGGAAAAAAACTCACTTCACGCATTTTTCTGATTCAGGTATTAAGCATCGATAATCGGTCAATACTTGACCCACATCGGTTCCACTTGATAAATCCTGCGTTTTGTCCGACTTATAGTGTCCGGTTCATGTCTTTCAACAAATTTGAAGCCTTCGTCTGGGACGAGGATATCATCATTCATTGTAGCAAATGGGCCATCGTCTTTATTTTATTGACATTATCTTTATCGTCCTCGTCATCTTTATCGGTTTCATTTTCCTTCTTCTCGTTATTATCTTCATCCTGTAATTGTGCGAGATGAAGGGAGCTCAAATACTCCTTTTCTCTTCGCGTATGTCCGTCTAAAGTTCTTCTGTAAGTCTCTTCCTTCTTACTTTCCTAGAATTTCGTTATTTCGGAAGAGTTAACTATTGTCTGGAATAATATTTCAATTGCTCGTAACTTTTTCGTCCGCTTCAAAGTATGCCTGTATACATACCGTGGAATTCCTGATTTCGGCCAGAACTCTGTTTCGTAGCATCTTATTGATCGATTCTTCTTTAGAAAGCTTTGATAAGTTCCCTGCGGTTGAGAGATAAACGCGAAAAATTGCGTGATCAGATAAGGGTAAATTTCGAAAGGGAACGCGCGTTGTGTGAACCTCATTAATCAGCACATGCAGATTACATCATTGTACGACCGTGTCAGTAAAATCACGTGAGTGAGAGACTTCGCGGTTCGCGCAATACAGTATTAACAAGTTGTCAATTGATTTTACGAAAATGCGAAATTAATCTTCATCGCTAGAAACCCTAAATTAGTAACCAAGATAACTATGCTGATAAAATTTACATGCATGTTAAACGTAATTGTTGTCCATGTGTGTGCGAAAAATTGACATGTATTATTTGACTTTGACTTTAATGATCTGATTGATTTTTCGAACACGCAAAATCAACTTTCGTCGTCAATCATTAATAACCCAGCAACCAAGAATCCAATGCTCGTGTAATTTACATTTTTGTTTAAAAGTAATTATTATGCAAAAAATTGACACAGAATATGAAGTACGATTTGGATATGCATAACGGCTGGCTTGATCCTTCGAGCAGCGCGAATGTCAATTTGTCGCTAATCACTAATAACACAGCAACCAAAAATCCAATGCTTATATAATATTTATATGTTTGTTAAAGCAGTCATCGCTAATGTGTGTGCAAAAATTGACACGGAATATTAAGTATGATTTGAGTTTATATAACGATATACAATAATTTGATTTTGGGCTGAACTTTCTTAATGATCTGTAAAATTCTTTGAATGAACTGCATTGACAGGACAGTAACAGTGAAACCCAGAATTATCATCATAATAATACCAACATCAATGATAATACCGTTTAGTTTTCGTCAAAAGATCATTTGCACGGAAAAACGGAATGATTCGGGAAAAAGTAAAATGCGGGATGATTTACATTTATAGTAATACATCACGTAAATTCATTCTTATAAATAAAAAGGAGCTTTCCCCCCTCACGTTTCATTTCTGCTCTCACGCTCGCCGCACTCACTCACCGCACTCACTCACTCACTCACTCACTCACCGCACCTCACTCACCGCTCAAATAAACATGTCGTCGGTACGTATAATAAGTTGTTACACCCCTCTCCGTCTTCTCTACCAGACGCGAAAGACTAGTACAGACCCCAAACAGGTTGAGAGGTAAACTAGACTATAAAAAGCTCGTCGATAGTCAGACGTCTCACGAATGAGTGGAAACGTTCTCGAGAATCACGCGCGTGATCACCTGTTAAGCCTCTATAGTCGTTTGCGTAGCTATTATACTGCCGAGCCTTTATTTTTTTGCTCACTTCTTCTTTTTTTAGGAAAACAAAAAGCCAAATATGTCCAACTATATTTCCTCTTATCTATCGAACGCTCAAAAGAAAAGGAATCTTGTTGATTTCCTAGATTTTTTATTATTGAATGAGCATAACCTCATAAATTTTGAGGATCTCCAGAAAATCAGTAAAAGATACGTCCATTCTTTATGGTATTTAAAAACTGGAGAAGATAAGAGGAAATATGAAAAAAGAAAACCGGACATAAACGCCAAGTGGAGACGGATCGATCTGGCGGGTTAGTATATATTGAGGGTTAGATATTGGTAGTGTTACTAACCCTAACCCTAAACCCCAATATACAGTATATGCTAATGTGATGAAAAGTTATTGCTTTTTATTTAACTTGTTATTTTGTTAATTTTTAATAGTGAGAAACACATGTGATGTAGCAGAATCTCAGGAACGCGAGAGAAGGCGTGATAGGCGGCGTAGTAGGGAATATTATTATTATCGTGATTTACCTTAATAAAATTTACTGCAAGTTGCATTTTAAAAGCACATAATATTATTCCTTATTGTAACTATATGAGCATTGAACCCGAGTTATTAATATTAATTGTTGACAATGAAGATTGATTTCGCTTCCTCGAAAAATCAAGCAGATAATTATACGTAAACTCGACATTGTACTTAATATTCTGTATCAATTTTTTGCACACACATGGACTACAATTACGTTGCATGCATGTAAATTTTCATCTCACTTTACACTAATTCGAGGCTGTAGCGTTTCCGTGGTTCTAACAGAATTTGGGTAGTTGTATCGTAAGCTTGAGTCGGTCGTATACGTTATTTGGTTTACTGCTATTAAGTGATAACTTTCTCTATTTGTCGTACAACGGTTTGCATTTCTATGATTTCACGTTTAAAACGTTAATGTTAACGTTAACTATAACGTTAAATTTCTACCTCACTAATTTGGAATAATCACATCATCCGTGAAACCAAACTTCCTAATAAAGAACGACTTATTTCACCTGACATTCAAATCTTACTTCAACAAGGCGCATGCAATTTCAACTCTACAACAAAATTAATCATGCTTACTCTGACAGATTCTCTGGCAATAATTACAAACAATCTGCTTTCTATCGGCATCATCACACTTTTGACTGTTGTTTTCATAAGAGGGCTAAAACGATCTGACGCTGAAGGTGTTAGCAGAACGTAATTCGGTTTGACATAAACTACATTATGATTAACTTGCTATATCAATATAACCAGATGAACAAAGTATAATTAAAGAGAATAGTCGATATCTTACAATACGTGGCAAACGTCTTCGTCTTGTGTGTATGATATTTGACCCGGAGGCACCCATCATATACTTCATACACGGACTAGGTGGACAGGTAAGCGCAAACATGTCTGTGATCACCGGTTAGATAAGCCCAAAGTTTAAACGGTTTTACCTTACATAGGCAATGCAGTGGGAATGTCAAATCGAATATTTTCGACACAAGCGATTTAACGTTCTCGCGGTGGATATGGTGGGTGCTGGTAAGAGTGATGTATCATACAGGTAGCGCTTCATAATCTTGATTCGCCAATGCGGGCATCTTTTTTCTACGTTTAACATCTGAAAAACGCTTTACAGTTGGGATGACTATACTACCGAATCACTTGTCGATGATTTATATGAAGTTACCCAGAACTATCCCGATAACAAGCTAATACTAGTTTGCCATTCGTATGGATGTTGTCTTGGGGCTAAACTATATCCTAAAATAAAAGACCGAGTGAACGGAATGGTGATCATCTCTGCCAAATTGGAGTTGACAGAGACTAATGACAAGAATCGAAAGATTGTAGCGAATCTGCCCAATGTAATGTTTGACGTTCTGCGTCTTATTGATCGATTGGGTGGCACTAGATCATCTAGCGTCAGAAGGATGATAAGCCCGAAAGCGAGCGAAGATGTTAAGAGAAAGCAGCTGACGTGGAATAAGCAATCTAGGACGCCTGCATTTAAGCGAATGATGAATGGGATGGTGTGGCTTACGCAGGATGAATGGAGGGCAGTAGATTGTAATCTACTAATGATTAATGGGAGTGAGGTAAGCGTGAGCAGCATTAAACTTGTATCATATAATACAAATTCTAACATACAAATTACATCTTTATTGAAGGATGAAGTAAGTCCTCCTGAAAACCTTATGAAGGCAGTCAAGACTTTTAAGAATGTGCTTATAATGAATGTTGACGATACAGGACACATGCCGATGGTAGAGCGACCAGATAGTGTTAATGATGCTATTAATGAATTCATCGGTCAACTATCAGACTGAACAGCCAAATTTAATGAAATGTATGTCGTATGTACGGTGTGTCAAATGACATTTGCATATGCCATATATGCCATATTTCATGATTGTACGGTAACAGATTTACCTTGCAATCTCATGGTTAGAATCTGGTAATTAACTTGACAAAGAACGTGAATAAGAAAAACACTGATTTAATACAAAGATTCTTATCAAGGTTTCGAGATCATGTAAAGTCACCCAAATGCTTTCAAGTATTGGTAAAAGGACTGGCACATCGCCCCCCCCCCCCCTGCCGTTCATTACAGTTCTTTTACGCGTTTAGGCAAACTTGAACGGTTTCAATGCGTCTTTTCCATAAACGTTCAATAGGGTTTAAATCCGTTGATTGATTTGGCTAATTTTGGTTTTCCTTTTGCAACCAATTCATTAATATCCCTGCAGTCATATCATTTTGAAACAAATCATCGTTTATTAAAATCATTATTGATCAATGGTAGTTTATTTCCAAGTTACATTTACATGCAAGGCTAGTTTTAACATAATGAGTGGTAAATACAGATCAAATACGTAGCGGTGACACTTGTGCATATCGTCAAGTTTCTGCGCCCGGCATTTATCGAATGACGATCCGCTCTGGATAAACGACAATTAAGCCGAATCGATTTCCTTGATGAAAGCGAGTCGCAAGCAATTCATCTGCTCGATCAGCGAGTTCTGACATAAAAGCTAGACTTGCATGATAGATTAGTTTCCGCTGAGAGACAAAGTTGGGTTGCTTCATCTCGAGTTCTTCAGCGCCGAGAAATGCTCAACATGCGGACAAAACATTCGGACAAAAGAGTCACCCTGAACTATTCTTTTGCTGCTGTTTTGTTACAGAACGACGACAATGCGCACGGAAAAAGTATTTGCTAAATAGGAACCAGAATTTCTAAATTATAAATCTTGTTACAAACACGACTTGGACCATCATTCATTTGAAAGACAAACCATTTATCACGCGCACATAGCATGACATCATAGTTGTCCAATTGTAACCTCAAAACCAGGGAGTGATAACAATGTTGCCTTTGTTCTGTTGCGACGCACCAAAAGCCTGTTATTTTAATCCTCGACTTTTCATTTGCTAACGTGCCATTCAACACAAGAATGTGCAACCCAATACAATAGGGTCTATTTGTATCCAGTCACGATGCTGCGCATTAAAGTTAAGGGTAACATGATTACATGCAAATTTGAACTTTTCACCCGAACATGATCATCATATTGACAGGAAAAAAAAAAAAGAGGTTTGTTGGATTAACACGTGCATTTGTAGATGAGAGGGGGGTGATAAAGTGTAGATAGAATGTGAATGCTCATATTATCGTGCCACTCGTAACAACAATGATGAATTAATATTAATATTTCTAAAACCGGAGATTTTTTAGTTCAAAATAAGGTCAAAGGTTTCTAAAAATAGATATTCCTAACTCTTCCCGCGTTTCCGGGTGACTCCGATACGCAAATAATACATAACATAATGATGGCCATTATTGCGTTACTTCTTCATCCTTTTGTTGTGCCAAAACATTTTAATAATCATAAAAAAATACCTTTTTTTATTTACACTGCATATAATATCGAATAAGAAAAAGAAACAATAGTAAGGAAAATACAAATCTTATACAACTATTTCCTCAAGAAGAAAAAAAAAACTGTGTATGTCAGAGGAAGCAACTGTGTAAATAAAAAAAATATAGTGTAATATTATTTTCTCTTCTTGGAGCTTATAGGCGCATAGAAAATAGAATAGATAATGGGCAAAAGAATAATAGTAACACGGAAATTGGTGGAAAAGGAAATGATCGTATTCAAGGAAAGGGAAAGGGAAAAGGAAAAGGAACAAGAAAAAGGAAAAAAGAACGTATTAATCGATGCAATTATCTGTTAAGCGTTATAAAACGGGATAATGTAATGTCGCAGATCAAGTCAAGGTTGAATTAACAGTTGCATGCGCTTCCATCAGTTCTTCTACCGATAGGTCCATTCAATCCACCTGGTTGGAAATCTATTCGACTGCTTGATTGATTGAGTATATTTTGGCGTGAACCGGATCGATTAGCTGACATGATGTGTTCAACAGGAATCTTCTTGGCTATTAAATAGACAATGTAGAATTTAGATTACATTCGAGGTGCATGATAAAAAAACAATATTATGCATATCATGATAACTCTATCGTTTCACGCACGATCAACGCCCGACATTTATCTAGTTCTCTATCTCGTTTTGCCGTAAGCAAAGAAAAGCCCACTCACCAATTTCCGTAAAGACATTAACCACACCCTCTCCTTTCTTAGCGCTCGTCTCAAAAAATAGTAATCCAGCCTCGAGAGCATAAGCTCTTGCCTCTTCAGTAGGCACTTCTCGGAAAATGTTAGAAAGTACCTCGGAATCATCTTGGGGCTCGACCAAGTCTATCTTATTACCAGCAAGAGCGATCACGATGTTGGGATTAGCTTGACGCTGAAGTTCTTTTACCCAAGATTTGGCTTTGTCGAGCGAAGCCTGTTACAAGCAAAGTGAGTTGTCAATGAAATAGATAACGAGAATTTAAAAGTCAATTTAGCTAATACGAATATATTCTTCCAGATGTGGCCTGCCCAAAGATACAATCGCTCATCACTCTCAATTTTTACGATGCTTACCGCTTTTGTGACATCATACACAACGACGGCCGCTTGAGCGTTTCGATAATACATCGGAGCAAGCGAATGAAATCGTTCTTGGCCAGCTGTGTCCCAGATTTCAAATTTAATAACTTTATTATCTTCAAGACGGCATTTCTGCGTAAGAAAGGCAGCTGTAAAGAGAATAAAAAGACAGGAATTAACACAATGATAACGCAATATTATTTATTATGTTCTTGTTCTCGAGAAAGAAAGAAATGTTTAAATTGGATTTGTAAATATAGGGGGATGAGAGGGGAGGTGGAAAATACGTAGACTCGATAATACATATCACATACCGCCAATAGTAGGTTCCTTGTTCTCGCTAAATTCGTTATTAACAAATCTGAGTACCAAGCTAGATTTGCCAACGGCAGCTTCGCCTATTGAAAAAGACAAACAGTACAGGTCAGCCCGGACTAAATATCGTTCTCGGTACATACTCAATAGACCTTGACAGATATTCTAGTCTAATACCACTAAAGCGCTTATGACTCACTACAAACAGCGTAAACCGCTCAAATAAAACCCCAATAAATGATAAAGACGTACCAAGCAAAACCAATTTAACCTGGACAGGTTTCGCAGATGTTGGCGATGGTGTACTCTCACTAGTACGAGTAACTGATTCAGTTATGGTACGTCCGGAATTCGACATTGCTTAATATGTGGTCTCTTTGAGTATAAAAAAAGGAAGAAAATCCTAAGCACCGAGTTTTGGCCTTTTTGGCTGGGTTTTTAAAGTTGAAGACGGAGGAAATATGAAGGGTGTAGTGAGCGGAATAAAAGGAGGGTTCCGTGGTTTTCTCCTATTAATATTTTGTTTATTATTGTTTGTTTATTAGATATTTTTTTTTTAACTGGGTGAACAAGCGTTGGTTGAGTTATATATGGCTGGTGAGAGTGGGGGGGGGGGCGATGAGAAAAGAGGGCAAACTTGGTCAACCACACACTATAACAATTGAAAAACGAGATCAGTTGTCACACTCCCCAATCCAATTCCATGTGGTGTTTTGAGTGATTGGCGTTGGAGATCTTAATTTGGAAGAGCTCAAGCGGGATGTCTGAATTATCACACCGATACATGTACAGCAAAACGGCAGGAGCAGCAGGAGGCAAAGAAGAGAATAATTGTTTTCTTTTTGAGTTTGTTGTTAGACGAGAGAAGGGGGAGTGGGTATTGGAATCGATCTATTCGACATTTGCGTACACTATATACACATTTACAAAAGACGTCAAAATAAATAAAATGAATTTACAAGTACGACTTTGTTTCTTTATATATTGACCTTTGACATGGAAAAGTTTGAAAGGTCCGTTGTAGTCTCTGCCGAGGATAACAACAAACGTGCAGAAAAGTTCATATTGCACCATTTTCGGGATATAGTAATATCAAAGGAACTCTGTCGTCAATGCTTCAAACGAGGAGAGATACTCGTAAACAACTCTCCCATCGAAACTTCACGAATTCTTCACAAAGATGCCATAGTCCAAGTGTCCATCGACCAGTCAGAAATCAAACGCAGCAGGCTAAATCTGTCCATCACTGTAAAATACGAAGACCATCACCTAGCTGTCGTGCTCAAACCACCCGGAGTTCATATGCGAGGATTGCAGGAGTCGTTGCCTTTTCTGCTTGACAGTAGCAGGAGTATCGCCTCCGAAACGCCGTATTTGTGTATAAACCAGCTTCAACGGTCAATGAATGGATTGGTAAGTATTTTTTCTTCTTGTATATTGTCGATCTCTAATTTATTAAAGAGAAACATTTGACGCCATGTGGATGGGGAACGTTAATTATATGTTGTGTGTGTAGTGTGTGTGTGTATGTATAGTGTGTAGTGTGTGTATAGTGTGTAGTGTGTGTGTGATATTTGTTTGTACATATATCATCATTCTTTCTTGGTTCTTTCTTTGTATTTGGTGACATGTGTCGAATAGGTCATATTATCAAAGTCAAGAGAAATGCATGAAAAACTTTTATCCATGGACAAGTCCGGCGATATCAAGTTCAGATATCGTCTAGTCTGTCACGGTAAATTCGATGAAAGCGCAAAGACTGCAGCGAGCAATTGTGAAGAATCGATTGACAATGATAACAATGACGTTATTCATGGCCAGAAATCGATTGTTGTTGATAACGACAACAATGCCATTAATAACACAAAGAGCAGCAGCACCATAAACAACCGTGAAACAGACGTTGATAATAACTCAGCCACCACCATCATCCGTCATGCATCCTTGCAACTCCCCTTTGCCATTCATCCAATCTCCACGACACGCAGTACATCCGGTGAAGGCAATTATCTGACGACCCTCGACATCATACACCACAACCATGCACAAGTTTCATTATCTGCCATTAAAGATTACTTTATGCGAATTAAACATCCGATTGTGGGCCACAACACCGCCTCCAAGCAGCTGAAATCATGCAAGGACAAGGGTATTTTGATGGCATTGGTGGAAGTTGCGTTTGAGCACCCTGTCACCAGAGAAAACGTTTGCGTAGAATGTGATGAGCCACGGAAGCTCAAGGTGCGCTGCATATGGTTTTGGATCACATTGTGCTGCATTCTGCATGTAGTTACATGTCGTATCTCCTTGCATTGCCTCATTGTAATTATTTATATATTGACTTTATTACATTTTCATTGGCAGACCATATGTCAGAGGGAGCAAAATTTTTATGAAAAGAAACGCGCCGCAAGGATTGCGGAAGCAAAGTTGTACGGCATCGAAAATGCAGTCGTTCTTAATGACAATCTCGAGATGCAATCGGGACTTCCATTGGCGTATATTGCTGGAGAAAAGGTTCGCCTCGTTGAATTCTCCAAAACCCACCAGTTTTGTTTTTTTCATCCAATTAACTTTGTCATGTTGCTTTAGAGTTTCTGTGGTCTGCAGTTTATGGTCAGCAACCAGACAATGATACCACGTGCATCCACGGAGCATTTAGTCCGCGCGACTCTAGACATTTACAAAACACAGATTTTATCAAACAAAGTTGCCGATAACATCACAAAATCATTTAGGATCCTCGATGTTGGAACCGGTTCGGGATGCATTCTGATAGCCATAATGCACTCGATCTTGTCTCTTTCCGAGTACGATACAACGGATGCGGGTATCTTTGGTATGGGAATAGATATATCTCCACTAGCGCTGGACGTTGCAAAGAATAATGCGAAAAGGCACTTGCACAAGCAACAATCGTTATACTGTTTCGCTAAAGGCAACATGGAGTATCTGCATAACGATCCATTACTGTCTCAAAAGAACTTTGACGTCATTGTATGCAATCCTCCTTATCTCGATATCACCAAACCATTACCTCCGAGTGATCCAAGATCTCATGAACCATCGCATGCAATATACTGCTCAGAGGAAGGGTACAAATGCTATCGACTGCTATCGAAGAGCTTGGATAAATCTTTGGCTCTAGGATCGCAAGTATTGAACGAAAGAGGTTTTGTCGTTCTGGAAGTTGGTGCTTCAATGGCCAAGAAAGTAAAGGGGATATTCAACGATTGGTGCTGTGTAAAAAGTATCAAGGATCAGCAAGGGTTCGAGAGGTGTCTTGTGTTTAGGCGTAAATGAAATGAAACATGTCAGCAGTAGCGGTGGCATTTAAAAGGAGCTGACATTGTAATAGGTGCGGTAAGCGATGGTCAATAAGAAAAGAAAGTATATTGTAATTATTGTGGGAATTTTGACAATCAAATGAAAAGAAAAAAGGCTAAACACTGTTGACGGATATCCGATAATGGTTAATGTCAATAAAGACAACAAAATGCCTAATAATGGGTTTGTGGCTCCCCTGGCGGAAATAAAGGTCAATACACGAACATCCAAGAATGGTTTGGTGGTTTGGCCGATGATAGGGGAGAATGACAATTTTTCCCGATATAGAACTTTGAATAACTCTAATGCTTGGTTTGCAACCCTTAATAAAGGATACTAAACTCTTATAATCATTTATACTAAAAGACAAACGCAAGGAAAACCCTTTAATTATGATGTGAGACATTTAACAAGAAAATAAAGTTTTGTATTCCAATTTACCCGTATAATATTTCAGTTGAAATATAAGTATTTTTTTTTTTCGGCATAGGCTACGTTACGCAATCGATAATATGGCTGTCACTTAAGATATCAAAAGAAAAAGGTTGTTAATCTTTTTTTTTTTTTTTTGCATAGCCAAGATGTTATCGATGTCTTTACTATTTTACAACGCTAGCCAATAAAGGGGAAGGGTGATTGGGAACGGGGTCTATATTGGCTACACAATGTTGATGACGTTTCGGAATGGCAGGGAATGCGCATTTACGCACCAATTTTATGACTATTCTGTTAAGCCTCAGAAAGTATCAGCCACATTCTTGTGTGGCATTGTGGTCTATACTGGTATCCGTCTATGGTGACGATACAAAATGGTGACGTACAAAGTGCGTTTACATGCTGAGAGCAGAAATTGCACTTGATAAGCTCTCGCATTAATAATTTGTTATCTGTACAGATCACTTACTCTAGAACGCTGAGTATTTTTTTTTTCGACCAAATTCTATCGACTGTGAAGATTGTTGCAAGGTTTTGCAAATCTGGCTCTTGCCTATTTGTACAGAATTCCCAATATTAACGCGTAACGGATACAGTTTACCTCGGATAAGGGAAAACAGTGATGATTTTATTTAGCATTAGTGGGAGCGTAAAGTCACAAGTTATCTAATAGAAGAACATGCCTATATCGTTTATCTGGTAAACAGAATAGACAACTGCTCACTTTTACGGTTAAGAGAAATTCTCATAGATAGCAAGATGTACAATAATTCTAGTATGGAAACTAATACCTTTATTATATGGCTGTCAATAAAGAGACTTACGTCGCTATCTCGCGTTGGGCTAAATCTTTACTTTTTAGAACAAATTGGTAATCAAAAAAAGCCATTCTAGATACTATTTTTGCCAGCATAGCGATTACGTAAACCAAAATAATATTATAAAATAACCAACGACGATAGAACACGTTGGCTAATCCAAGCTCACAGCCAAGGTTTACAAATGTATTAGTATAGATATACAGGATTACTCTATAGACGTCAATTTGCATCATTTACACTCCCTGAAAGAAAATATCCGATAGAAGTTCTGTAAGTATTCAGTATTACAATTATACAAAATTTTTATATTAATTTGTAGTTTAGCAAATCTGCATGTAAATTCTAAAGTGTTTACCTATGTACTACCAAACAAAAGGCAATTTGCATTTAAAATCAATTCATCGATCTTTGGCTTACAAAGTTTATATTTAAAAAAGAAGAAATTAAATGCAAATTTGTAAACATATCCAAATAAATAATTTTGTTTTATTATAAATTAAATGCAAACGTGTGTTTTATTCTCATTTTTCTGCCACCTTCAGGATTCTATTGGATTTTTGCCTTTAATTCAAAGTAATTTTAATGGAAGGTTATGCTTTCCAAGATGACAATGTTTCTGTGCATACAGTAAAAAATGCTACTAATTGGATCAGTGGAAAAAGAGAATTCAAAATTTACCTGACGGGCCATAATCCAATTGAAATGAGCTTGAAGTGCGGCCCAAAAACCGTCACGAAAACGAGAGATTGCTCTGAAACACTAATTTTTCATTAAACATATTCCGATTTTATTAAGTATAAGAATGTCAAGCAGGGTTGAGGTAAGTATTTCGAATAATGGATGGCCAACTCAGTACTAAAATAAAATCAAAACTTTTAGAGCCAAAGGTAAGATTAGTTTTAATTGCAATTGTCTTTTATTTAATAATTTAACGTTCAAGAAATCTGAACACTTCAAATTTACTTGCAGATTGGTGAAAAGCTAAGCTACAAAATAAAAATTTTGTATAAGTGTTCCATTGGATTTTGCAGAATGTCCTCCGGATATTTCCTTCCGGCAAGTGTATCATAATATCTGCAATTTTGATATTTTAATTTACTGTTTGTTGTCAAAACAGTGAGTATTGATAAAGCTTTGCTCTAAAATCAAACATATTAAATAACATTTGAGTTTAAAATAATCAGAAATTATTATTGCTGCCCTAAATTTTAAGATTAGTAACCCAAAGTGAGGGCACATAAAATTGAGTAAACTTTTTTTCATAAGTTTATTACAGTACATAAGAAAAACGACAATATAAATATAAATAAAAGAGTTTAAGGGTGAAGATAGAAAACTATGGCTTCATATTTAATAGATAACAAATTTTATTACCTTATTGTCCAACCGCTGTTGCAGAAAGAATAAACAACATGAGCATTGCTGGCTTTATTACAAAGACATGAAAATTTCAGTTATTAAGTATCTATGCTAATGATGACAAATATAATTTACTAACAATAATTTTAACAAAGACTTTTCAAACAATTTTCCAGTGACATTTGCATCTAGCTTATTGAGCGTCTGTTTATCTCCTTTGAGTCTACAACAAATATACCAGTTGTGAGAAACAGATTTTTCACAAATTCTTTTAAAGTCCAGTCATATCAATATCAAAGAAAAAACAAGAAAATTACACACGAGTAAAGGAAAAAAAATAAGAGCTTCATAGTTGATATGGTAGGACAAAATCAGAAGCGTAAGATAAAAATATAGTTGTAAATGATTGATGATATTCGAATTAACGCAATATCAAGTCTCATAGCGGATTGTTCCGAACCACCCAAGGAATGAAGTTCCGTAGGTTGTGAGTTTGAGCTTGCTGAAATTTGGGAAAGAAAATTGTAGTTATTGTTGACGTGCGTACAAGTATTAATAATGATATTAGAAATAATTAAATTTGCGCATACCGATTGCAATAGTCATAAAATTTACATTTCGCTGTTGTCGATGTATGGGCAAAAAATTAACACAGTACGATCGTTATGTGAAATTCATCGATACAACTATACGTCACATCAGTTCGAATAATTGTACGCCTCACAAGTTCACATTCTCTAATACTAAACTGTAGTAGTAGTTTCTCTCGTATTCTATTCATGCTACAACATTCGAAATAAACTATTTCATTCCCTCAAAGTAATTTTTTCTCTCTACTAAATATCTAATTACCAGTTGTTATCGGCCGGTAGTTTGTGTTGTGGGAGAGCGAATACCTCTCGCGTAGATGTATTCTTTCCGACCGGAGAATGTTGCCAAATTTAGGCTAATACTAATTTACTTTAATAATGCGCGTTAACTCTACAACGAATGTTATACCACAAAATTATCTGTTTTAAATTAAACAGGTATATCGAGATTTGGTATTTTGACTAGTCGGGTGAAAGTCGCTTGTTTTTACAACCATTGCTTTAATATTAATTATATAATAATAAGCTTTTCACACGTAATTGATCAACGAATGTCTTTACTATTATGTCACATGCACACATTGTGATTACTTTGTATCACATGACACACATTCACAAAGAAGAATTTACAAAATGGACGCGCCTTTTCAGATTACAACAAAGTCTCAAAGATGGTTCTAGCAAACGACATACCCGAACCCGTTCACATAAAACTCGATAATCAAGTCCCAACCTTACAAGAGTATTCTTATGCACTTTCAGAGCTTGAATTCTTAGCCACACAATCACTCGTACGCTTCGAACCGACATCTGCTTTGCCAGTCGTCAAACTCATATGTGTACGCGTTATTCATTACCATTTTGTTTCAACTTTGAAAGCAGGATCAATACATTTTCTCATTGAAACAAAAAAAAACAAAAAAAAAACAAAAAACAAATTACAATGATTAGGGAACATACGGGCCTTTTTCTCCGCCTCGTAAAACCTATGTTCCATTATGGCTTGCTTTATGTCTTTACGAACATGATCGAGGGAGGATTCTGTTACCGGAATGGATGACTGCTGGTTTGTGTGTGTGCATTTGAACGTCCGGGAAAACGTGCTGAAAAAACCATACACTGTTGAAGCTTATTGTCTTTTTTTGATCCGCAGAGGCGTTGGCAAAGAGCGTGGAAGAAGAACAAAAGTTTGAAGGAGTGTTCAGTTCCATTCATCCCCATTGGATGGTGATATCCAAAATTCTTATCGAGAAGTAAGGATATGTGTATATATGTATATTTTTTAATAGGAGGGAAAACTATATAGCGAATGCGCGTGACTCAACGCTCGGGGTTGACGGTCGGTTAGTTCCCAACGTAGTAATTTTTGTGATCCCGATCTCGTAGAACGGGCCAAGATATTCCAAACCTAGAAGAAATTAAAAAAAGTCTACAACGTCTCAAGGAAATTCGATGGGAGAAAATGCGTCGCGGTGTATCGGAACTCAATCCGTATCATTTGCAGGTAAAGCAAAATTTGTCGAACGCAATCCTTGTAAAATACCATGTTTTCGTTATTCACCAAGCAAGACTGCTTATTATTATTTTGACAAAAAGACAAACAATCTTAGCTACATGGAAATCAATCTTATACGGCCGGTATTTGTAAAGGCAATGCAAACTTTGAGAAAAATAAATCCGGCCGAGTCGACAGCATTATGACCGCTCGACGTTTAAAAGAATTAGACTTGATACATGCTGCCCACGTGTGTGCACTTGACATGGTCTGAGCATGAAGATCTGTCCATGTAGGCTTCAAGAGGTTTATGCAAAGAGACTAACAACTAACCTTTGCCGGCTCGTTTTCATGTTAGCAATGTGGCCATCTCATGACTCGGACACACACCACCCATCCAATCGCATAATAAAAAGACCTTTCGCGTTAACACGCCGCAACGTATTTCTCATCTATTTCGAATTGCACGTTTTTTTTTATGTTTTATTGTTGTGATTGTTTAATGTCCAGCTTAATGATGATATAAAAGTTTAGGGAATATTTTAATAGATATTTTGTCCTGGTAACTTTAAAGATAAATCTCTATTTACAAAAAGGCGAAATTCGTTTGCGTGAATATCACACGCAAACGAATGTCTAATTACAAAGGGAGGTGGCAAGGGGAAATAAGTAACGACGCTTTAAAAATATGAAAGCTTAAAAGCGAAATTCCCTCTAAACATTCGTTTCACATCTCCTCGCACTCTCCAACACTCAAAACCCCTGTGAGATAATATCAATGGCAGTTTGACTCTGCGGTCGTTGCTGTTGCTGTTGTTGTTGTTGCTGTTGTTGCTGTTGCTGCTGCTGCTGCTGCTGCTGCTGCTGTTGCTGTTGTTGCTGCCTGTGTTGCGATTGTGCGCCAATATTTGTTTCTCCAACAGTGGCACTTGCAACATCGCTTCCCAATCCCAGTCCTGTTGTGACTCCTCTAATATAGTCTGACCAATCATTAAAATCATAAGAAGACGGAATGGTCCATAAAGGACTTCCATTTCCCATCGGGTCCTCTTCATTGAAAATAAAGCCCGACACGTCAACAGCAAATGCATCCGCGTTCGGCGGAAAGAATGCATCAGAAGTATCGCTTGATAAAAATTCTCCGAAATTTACAAAATTCGACGATCCTGACGATGCCGACGATGGAGAATAGTTGGCATTACTGTTAATCTCTGCCATTATCTGCTGAGACATGCTGAAATCTGCTGTTGATGACGGCACGGTTGGTGTAGTCGGCGGGTGTAACTGGGCAGTTGGCGATGGAGCAAATGTAATCGTACGATTGGATGCTGGTGATTCGTAAGAACGATTATTCACTGTGCTAACGCTTGACAATTTCATAGGCTCGCTTGGGCTATAGGATTTCCCGGTAGAGTTGTGGCCGTCAAGGTCGATTCCTCGTGTTCTGAGAAGATCACTTATCACACCTACGCACTTGTCCGCAGCACACCAGAACGGTCTTAATTTCTCGAGACACTTGAGCGACATGCGCAAACCTTGCTTTGCAACTTCTCTAAATCGCTCATCACCACTCAACGCGTTAATTATGTGCATTACAGTAGCCGTAAAGAAGAAATACAGATTATGAGTCCAGCTAACTTTCAAAGCACCCTCTTTCATCGATCTATATGAAATATGCGTTATGTTGTTGGCGGCCCTGGTACATATCGTCAAAGACGGAATGGAACTCGGTGGTCCTTTTGATCTCGGTTTGATATACGGTCGATGTAACAAGATCTGAATGGTGTAAAATAGTAAATGGAAAAATGCCCGTTTCTGATTCTTCGGGTCCACAAGTGACATGGACGGCTCGTATCTCATATAATCCGGCAATGAGTCTAGCCATTGATTTAATTCATCGTCCAATTCTGCAAGAATCGACTCGCTATTTGGTGACGAGATGGTTTTTGATTTTATACAATAGACGTGCTGAATTACACGGCCGAGAATTGCAGTGAGTTGTATGGTTTTTACCCATGCTTCGATCCCGATCGGATCGTCTTCGGGGAGTGCTCCGGAAACGGGTAATGGTACGTCAAAATCTTGTTCTTGAATTACTACAGGCTGAAAGGAAAAAAATTAGGGATGTTGGTTATTCCAAGGTTCTGCATTAAATATAAGATCTCAGCCCATTAAATATTTTATTTTACTCACCCGACCTAATCCAGCCGATACGATGCGATCACTCACGAAACAGGCCCACCATAATCTTTTTCTAATTTCCGCTTGTCTAGCATCTAAATTCCATTTCGAAGAATCCCTATGTAATCCCATATCTTGAGCCATTCTGATGGCCAAGCCAGTATATAGCCAAGAACGAGAATTCTTCTTTCCTTGTTGGTTCATGCCCATGACTAAAAGTGCTTGCAAGGTAATTATGTTTGATTCGTCAAAGTCATCCGAGAGAAGCTCTTTTGCTCTGTAAAAAAATCGGTCTCCTGATGGACAGGCAAATCGGGGAGAAATTATTAATGAATGGGGAAAATATATATATATGTATTTTTTTTTTTCATTTGACCATCATTATAATATTTTATTCTCTGCAATTCATACCTGCTGTAGATGGTTCGTCGGGATGCAGTCTGACAGCCGGTCGATCGATATGACGAGCTGCAACAGACATTATAGCAAACAATAAAACTAGAATCTGAGGGTTGTTCTCCAAATCCTTGTACTTTTCCATAAAATACGTCTTATCGACGAACGGAATGCATGGATGGATTGCTTGGAAATATACATCAACCAATTCGTCGCACAACTCCCGCGAAGGTAAAGCAATTTCGATTGGTCGTTTGCTCTTTATCTCATCGGGATCGGGTACGTGCAAATCGCCCCTCGATACGTTAAGCAACTGACCATCGGCTATGTTCTTGGTAATTTTTAAAACAAATATGCCAGAACTATTCCCCAAATATCTTGTTTCGCCATTTTCATCAATGGCCAGCTGACCCATCGAGTCGTTAAGATCGTAACCGGTTCCTTCGTCATCTCTCGAGACTGGAGAACTATTTTCTTCGCTATCACTTGAATTATTTGATTTATAGAATCCATTCTCGGATGCATTACTCGTTCGCGACGAGCCGAGGAATTGTTGAGGTGATGTTCCTTCTCTTCGAACGGGAGCACCCGATGCGAAATTATGTTCGCTAACGTTGATCCATTCAAGAGTACCGGACGAGACGGAACCTTCGGGAAGCTCGCCCGATTGTACGAGACCGCCGAGTATCGATTCCATGCGTTTTAATCGGGTTTCGAGTGCTTCGATGTAGCCTTTGGGTGGACCACGTTTTTTGGGTGCGTCGATGAACGAACTAGGTATGTGGATGGGTGTGGGTGTGGGTGTGGGTGTGGGTGTGTGGGATATACGATCATTGGGGAAAAGTACGCGATCGTGTAATGAGGAACAAGGGAAAGATTGTCGTGGAAATCATACAACGGTAAATTAGAATGCTTTTTTATAACAGAATGTTGCATCCATCTTGATTCGAGGTCAATGCGCAGTTTAATATTTCGCATAGAGCACGATTCAATAGATGTCGAATCAAAAGCTTCCGTTCCCCCACCCGTGAATGAAAAGCGTCATGACTATCACTCGTTCGCATCGCCCATCCCAATAATGTGCATGACATGGAAACTCACCACTCATATCCGTATGCCTTACAATTAGTACATGAGGGTGGATCGGATCCAGGTTGTACCCCATCACATCTGACTTTTTTTCTTCGACAGGTATCGCATGCTCTTGCAACACGGCGTCGTTTTATCATAATATCATCGCTTGACATTGTGAATATGAATTAAGTGAAGGTAGGTTCTCGAGTATACTATAAATATCGGTTATGCTTGTTTAAGGGTTACTTCTATCGTTATTACTAATATTAGTTTAATATGTACTTGTAATAAGCTTCACCAGTAAGCGAATACTTGCTTAATATTTGGTTGAGAATGATAGTAAAGACAAGGGTTGTATATATATGACTTATGCGATACTAAAATTAAACGTATTAGTATATTTTCCTTCGTGTTTAAAAGAGGGAGGGGAGGATGAAATAAAAGGATAATCGACAAAATTGAAAAAGTCGCAAATAAAAACGAAAGGGTTGATCCCTTTTATAGTTGACGGAGCAAAGAACTGGTCAAACTATAAACTAAATAAATATATACTTTATGCAGCGTTCTTTAATAGGTGGACAGACCCTGGTGCTTATTACGTAATACCTTGACACAAATATTTATTACTCGTTACATAATATGAAAAAGATTATAATATGATGCACATGTACACCTATGTATATATATGTATAAATATATATACATGGTTTGTATACTAAATAATGAACTGTATAATATAAAGGAAAATAAAATGAACATTACTACATTTAGAATGTTGGCGGCTTCTATTTTCGAGTCTGTTTCTATTGGACACAGAGGAAAGGAGCAGACAGGGTATGTGCATGCAACTACCCAGCAGAATGCCGTACCTGTGTTTTGGATATCAAACAGGAAAGCAAACCCTTCTATCGACAAATTGTATCATGCTTGGCCCTTTATTCGTGTTTTCAAACCGACTTTTCGTATGCGGGGGACGTTTTCATTTAATTCGAACGCTTGCATTTATACAGTGAAAAACGAGTGGTTCCTGATTGTCAATCGATTGTGTAATAGTTTATACTTTCAGTTGTCGTATTGTATGCAGCAGGCTTGCTTACATTATCAGATCCGTTGTGATATCGATTTCATTATCGGAACAAGAGTCTTTTGATACTTTATTTTTTCGTTTCTTGCCTACAAGACGAGTTTGGATTTGCACGTGGAGCTATCCGGTTTACTTTTGAAACTCTTTTCATTGCGATGGCTTTTCTCTTCTCGATATTAAATTTCGGACGAAACAAACAAACAAAAAAATCTACGATCCATAATTGGTAATAAATATTATTTTGTTACTCTGCCAATTTTTGTTGATGAAAGGTTATAAATTTAGTCATTTGCACTGACTATATTTGTGCACGTGCTAAGCATAAACAGACTGAATGACCGAAAATACAATACACTCCATCCAAACTTGGAAATTGGGAAGGGTAAAGGCGTTTGAATATAGTAATAACCGACATGGCGTAAATTTCTGTTCTGACAGTCGACACTGGTTCTGAATCTGCCAACAGTCCAGATAATGCATGTGTGTTATATTGGAAAGTTTTTTTTTTACTCGCTCAAATCTCGGGCGGATTCCACCGAATTATCCGAGCCAAAGCTAGTGTCACCCATACTGTCATTATTATTGTTCGGGGGTCTCCACTGAACTGACTGTTGGTTATAATAATAAGCTATTCACGCAGTTTAATGATGTATTACCTTATTTAGAAAGACAGCAATCTCTTAATATTCGACATAACAAGCGATAAGAGATCACTTATCAATAAAGTAAGGTTCATTGAAATTTAACCAAATAGAGTGTGGTTACACGTCGATGTTACATCAGCATTTAAAATGGGCAGTACAACTGTCACGGTGCATGACAGTAACCCATGTTTGATTTTAAAGAATGGACGCGTATATGAAATACGTAAGAATCGATAAATATAAGGAGGCAAACATTTAATCGATTACGTAAATAGTGGACTGTATAAACGGTTGTACTGTATATGCTTTTCGGTCATGCAAACCAACATTTTTTATGCAGCCGACTGTTGCATGTTATACATTATTGCAGATTTTACGTCGAAATGGTATTTCTGCACGGCAAGATGTGTATTCACTATTACCAGATGAGGGTTACTAGAACTCGATCCATGTGAATAAAGAAGACAAAGCTTTGACGACAAGAAAATGATTGGTTATAATATCGGTAATAACGACTGTAGTAAAAGTAAAAGTAACAGTAATAGTAACAGTAATAGTAACAGTAATAGTAATAGTAGTAGTAATAGTAGTAGTATCAGTAATAGTAACAGTAATAACAGTAACAGTAGTAGTAATATAGTAGAATAATTACTGTAGTAATTATTATACTTATTATTGTTGTTGTTATTATGTACTCTTCAATTAATGATTTGCCCCAACAGGTTTTATCACAAATCAATTAATATAAACAAAAAGCGTAATCAGTTGCCATTAAGACAATATCTTGTTTACAAGGAATGCCAAAATAAGGTTTGATTTGGTTTGCTGTGCGTACAATGTTGAAACACAATGTTTATGCGACTAAGCTATTATAGAACGTGTATTATTGTGTAAATTCCAATCATACGTTGCCAACTGTCGTATAGCCATTTCTCTTGTATATATTGTTATTGAAAACCTTGCTCAACGGTCGCATAATCAGCCCACTTGAATTTTTTGATACATAAAAAAAAATTCTTTTTCATAGAGCTCAAATTATGCGCGTACGCTCCTACCAGCACATGTATATGCAGCCATTTAATAATTCAATAATCAACCAATAATCGATCCAATCAGTCATAATAACGTTAGGCACACGCTCAAAAGACATACCAATATATTAAACACACCACGAAACAGGTAGGAAATGGTATAATTAACGTCTCGAATTTTAGACGATTCTGCCTTGACCAATCATATTCATTCACAATTGCAATACCAATATAAACCGCAGATATAATGAACTTGCATTTTCAACACTTGAAATTTACTATTCTATTCTATAAACGGTTACTCGAAAACTGAAAAAGACGTTCTGGACCGCTTTTTATGAGCTATTGTGCAAGCGATGATCATGATTAAACGTAATCGGCGCAGGCTCGCTGATCAAAATCATCAAGTCTCTGCCTCAAGTTTTGCGTGTATTTATATTCCTCATTTTGCGCCACGCTCTCTGGTTCTATAATCTTCCAGGACAAGGGGGGGAAATAATTCTCAACCGACAAATTCGATATTCCAGGTTTTTTACATGGTTACAATGTATGTGATTTGGATTAGTTTGTTTACGGGATAAATGGTTACGTTACTCCGTGATTTGTCATTAGTGAGAAACATGCATAATTTGTTTCACAAACTTATAGATTACGCAATGGGCAAACGCAACCCACTGAAAGAAAAAAATTTTTTATCAAACTGTTCACCTAATTCGTTGGTTTATTGTTAAAGCGCTACAATAACTGAAACGTACTCGCTCCGATAACCATTGTGCTGTCAGACTTTTCTTGTGTATATTCATTTTCGACTTGTCGCGCAACATGATGTGCGTATTGCCCTGCTCGACATCTCTGCATGTTTCTCTTTGATTGTAATGTCCCATTTTGTATTAACGGTTACGATTAGACGCCTTCCCCGGACATACGGACCACGGAGACCTACGTGCGAACAATGATCCCAAAGTATTATGTTTTACAAAAGATACATAAATTAGACTCTCGTGCGACTCACGGAACGTCCGGCAATTACGGCCCGGTGCTCGACATCAGATATTACCATATTGGTATTGCAATCTCGAGATGTGACCATAACGATAATAATCACCTACCATTATTATATCTTTATTCGGGGCTGCTGGACTGTGACATCACTCTTGCAAACAATCATATTCCCTTTTTTTTTTTGCCCGCTTTTATGATTATAAACGTGTGTTTATCGGCCGCTTTCCTGCATTAAACAGCCATTTTGCTTCTTTGCCGCGATATTCATATTTTCATGATGCTCCTTTAATTACGAGTGATTGACGCCAAGCTTAACGCAAATGCACAAATCCATTAACATAAACGAGATTATTATTTAGGTTATTTTTAGGTATCATGATGAATTACCCCCCACCCCAATTTAAAGCCAATAATAAACGTCTTTTCTTGACCGAAATCCGACGTAGAATATGTGAATGCGATATCATATCATCTTGCCAAGCATTTGTACTGTCTCGGAGCTATTGTTCTTTCTGTCCTTTCAGTTACGCTTGGCCGAAATTTTAATTTGGAAATGAGCACTCATGAAGACGTCGTATGTTTTATGTGATTTCAATTATAAAGTATGAATTACATTGTCGCTCTTTTTGTTGCTTATGTTTTCCCTGAAGAAAATAAACTTGGCGTGTATAAAGAAAATACAGTTGACAAAAATAGAGTCAAACTAGTACGCAATAGCGTCAGTTAATACAACTGGTGTTGAATGTCTTATAAGGAAAACTAACAAAAACGATCCCCCTCTCCATTCGCCTTCGCTGTCATCACACTGGCAGCGACACTTATACAGATTACCATCATGTTTTCCGCTCTCGAGCCTGATACGGTCTCTACAAATGTCCTTCTTAGCGTTCAGTGTATTTCTCGTGTCGTCTTCCAATCGGTTTTTAATATTCCCAGCCTTAGGTCACCCGAGATATTCCGGATTCAATCGTAACACTAAGATCAAATGGCAGAGGTAACCGTCTGTCTGTTGATACTCTTATTCATTGGCCCACCTTCAACATTTCATTTCTTTCAGACATCGTAATACTTACTTTGTCTTAATCTATGTATTTCTTGATCCAATCAATCGTTATCTTTGTCTGCTTTATATAGAACCAAGCAATTATTATATTACAGGGAAAATGCGCTTATTTATATTATTAAGCCAGGTTGGATCAGTTGGATCACTGGTTTAATTCAAGAATCCGATGCAAGGAAAATAATTGAAATAGATTGCAGCTTGAACGATTTAAGGTCTTCCGTGCTTTTTAGGCTTTGTTTTTGTTAATGAAATAATGGCAGTATCAGAGCCGCCAAAACTGTGATAAGTCTACATTCGCTAATATGTAGTTTAGAGAATTAACGTTATCGTTTATTATTAGCAAAACCACTCGCTTTGTCATTAGCTTGGCTGCAATTACTTTGTGGTTCAAGATGGGTTTTATTTTATAATGCAAAAGGAATTATGGTTATTGATATAAACGTGGCTAGCACAGTAAATGTTTAACTAATGGCATTTTGGCTGTGACTTTGCACAGAATTTATGGACTGATTTTGGGCTGCGTTTTTTTTTAATTAATTGTTATACCGAAAATGTAACGGACACAACTAGTTGAAATAAAACTTACTTGACATTATCAATTATAGCACACATTTAATATAGAATTATGTTTGTTCAAACATAAAAATATAAACTAATACTAGTTTACATCAATCCACCGTGGGATCAAAGATATTAGAAGTATTTTAAAAACGATAACAATTACTTTCTTAATTTTAATCAATGTCAATTATTAGTCTCTTTTAACTTCAATTTGAGTTTAGAAGTCTACAGGTAAAACCTGTTTAAACCGGCGCTGATTAAACCGGTCTCGGGTTTAACCGGCCGCCTCACGACTACACCAAATTTTTATTAATTAGAAACTTTCTCTAGTTAAGCAATTTTCTGAACCGGTCTTGGCCAAATCCGGCCAAAAATCAGCAAACTGGGTCTGCTGGTTTAAACAAGTTTTACCTGTAATTGCTTTTTTCAATTCCCCGTTATTTTGTTTGGTTTTCTTTAATAGTTTGTTTGTTCTTCTAATTTTTTTTCAAGCTAGTAATCCTATCCAATAACTCTTGCTTTGTTTTTTTATGCCAATTTTTTGTTGTTTTCAAAGCTTCCAAACGAGTATTTACTTCTTCAGTAATTAATTTTTTTTCCTTGTAAGGCGTTTACCTGCCTTTCATAAAAGCATTAGGTCTTTGCCCTGATGTAAGATTGGAAACTCCTTTTTTTTCTAAATTTTTATTGTAGTTGACACACATACACTTATACTTGCCAGTAAGAGAATTTAAATTGACTGGTTTTTTAACCTATTACTATCATAATCACACCTTTTACATTTGGGTAAAGCACCATTCTCAAATTTCTCTCACAAGCATAGTTATTTATAATTAGTGATATTTTTTTCAGTCTTTTTGTTCTGAGTTCTAATTTGATAAATTGCTTTATCACTGTCAAGAGATTATTTTTGAGCTAGCTTGGTATTGTGATCTTGCATTGTTGTCATTTATATATATTATTCTTTCACTGCTGTTTTCTATTATTATCTCACATTTCCTTCTCATCAATCCAATACAGTTAATTAGAACACTATTTGGAATTCTATCCAATTCTTCTGTCATATACTAATACTGCTCTAATTTGAAAAGATTTTTAGGCATGTGCATTTTTACACTTCTTTTGACAATTGCCTAAAGATTTTTGATTGGGTTCAAGTCTGGACTATTGGAAGGCCAGTCCAGAACTTTCTATTTCACTAAGAAATGCCTGAGCAACCTGACTTGTATGCTCTGGGTCATTATCTTGCTGGAATAGGAAGCACCAATCATTTCTAAAAAGTTAGGTTAATTTCTTGCTTATGATTGCACAAAATATCAACATAAAACTTCACTTCTAAAACAAATAGAGAAGTTTTTCTGTGTATACAAATCCTTCCCATATGAAGATTTTAGTGCAACTTTTGGGAATCTGCTGTACTGGCTGTTCACCCTTATACCATTGAATTATTGTATTTCTGAATAATTGAAAGGCAGTTTTATCAGAAAACAATGTACTAACACAAGCTTCTTTATGAGCAACAGTAAGCATAGGTGTCTTTAATATTAAGGGCAGACTGTTTTTGTAACCCAATCTTGCCAAATGTCTTGAAATTGTCATGTGAGATCACATTGTGCGCAGCACATCTTCTCTCTAACAAAAAAAATGGCAACGACAATAAGACAAGAGTTGGCGAAGGCAGAAGTACAGCTAAAGGAGGCGAAGGCGGAGGTGAAGGAGTTTAAGGAGCACTACGGAGAGCGGCTGACGTGGTTAGAGAAGAAGTTGTGGAGCGACGAAGGGACCGAGGCGCAGCGGGCAGAGTGGGAGAGAGAGAAGAAGACGCTGGGGAAGAGGCGGAAGACCCTGGAGGATAGGAAGGAGGAGCGTTTGAAGCAGGTGGAGAAGCTACAACGAGACCTCACGGAAGCATTGAAAACTCAATCAGGTAACGACTTTGTGACTTGGGCGTTGGGGACAGAGTAGTGTGTACATTAGTACACTCACTGGCCAAAAGTATTTGCCGAAATCTGTCGATCAATAGTAAAACATATGAAACATATATTTTTTCGAAAATCTGTATTGCTCATATTTATTATGTAAGTAACAATAAATTTTGTATCGATTTAAAGCTAAACGATTATAATATTCGAAAAAAATAACAACACATTTAAATTTACTATCGTTATAAAGCTGCAGTTCAATGAAGTGGCCGTAATATGTTACACATACATTTTTCGTATGATTACATATGTGTAACTTACATATCACTACTTTACCGAAGCGCTACGTAATTACGATAGATTGTTTAAATTCGACAGTATGCTTTCTGTAAAGTACAGTCAACTAGCTTCAGAATGATGCAAAAAATAATGTTATTAGGTTAGTAGATACAGCCGAGGGCGATTTTCGAAAAGTAGATTTTTCATACGTTTTACTATTGATCGACAGATTTCGGCAAATACTTTTGGCCAGTGAGTGTATGTACACAGTTCTGCTGCAATCAGCAGCATTACAGACCATCTGGCGTGCCTACACAGATAGGGCCTTTGGCCAAAACCCCGTCCTCCCTCTCCCCCAAATCCTCTCCAACCTCACCTCAAACATCCTATCCCTCCGCAACATAGATATCTACCAACACCCACACTCCCCCTGGCCCCCATCATCTAAAATAGCATCCCAAATCCTCACCTAACCCCTCCTCCCCTCCTCCTCTTTATTGAACCTAGGGTACAATAGGATAGATTATGTAGCATAGCACCTATGTTCTAATCCTGTATCATGTTAAAACTAGCTTTAGCCCTCCTGGGTAGCTTGGCAATAAAGTTGTACTCAATTGAGTGTATGTACACAGTAATATGATTTTCTTATTGGGTGTATACCGTTGCTAATTATGATTCTCACTGTTGAATCACATAACCTAATCTATTGTCCCTTTCGTACTGTATTTCAAGTTCCTCGTTTTTCACCCACGCGTTCGACTTCTATGATGGGCTCTAACATCAAGAAGCATCCAAACTATCAAACTTTCCAAAATTGTGAGTTTTTGGATGAGCTCACATCCGAAGAAATGTGCACCATTAAAGAAAAATATGCCTATCTTAATAAGAATCCACCAAACCATAATAACGATTGGAAAAGGGAAACCAAAGATGTGCAACCTTGGGTTCAGAAAGTTTACGAATCTTTGGTGGCAATATGGGACCTTGCCATTATCCAGGATGAACATAATGGCAGTCCTAGTTGTAGCAACTATGCGGATCATTACCTCACATACCCGCGGAATAAGGATCAATACACTAGAGATAAAGTAAAATGGATTGGGTAAACTGCTATGCATTTGAAGACAAATTTCAATTGTCGGAGTCCGCCCTAAACAAAGCAATGGTTCAATGTCACAGATACTCCATGTATTTCTTCGAACGGACAGAGAATAGAACACATAAATACATCTCAATTATTACTGACGGTTCCATATATGCACTTTGGTATTCAATCTACGAGAAAGATGATATAGTTGGTGGCTTGTTTGGTGGCTCACTTGATAACAAGTGGTCTCAGGAAACGCTGCTGATTGTCGGACGTGTCTTCAAGACTTTCAAGCAAGCTAACATTGGCAGACTCCGTGCTAATGCTTCTCCACAAGAGCTGGAAAGCTTTTTTCCCGACAAAGACATTGCAAACGTCGATTCTCCCAATACAACACCTACCTCATTCATCCATTGACATTTGAACATAAATAAAGGGTTATACAATGTGATTCTGCAATGGGCAGTAAAACGCTCTCAATTCGGCCTCCCGATCGTGTCGACAGGTATCGGTGAAGTTGAAGCATATCGAATTTTGGGTACTGGGTCCAGTTCTATTGTTTTCGAAGTGTACACTCCGGAGAATGTACGGGTAGCACTTAAATACAGTTTGAATGAGCGTTGTCTGGAACGCGAAGTTCAGATGTTGAAAAAATTCGAAAAACTCGAGGGTATTCCGAAATTATTGTACAAAGATCTCCATAATCCTCTTATGAATATCCCATGCATTGTCACTAGCATGGTTGGCAGGGAAATCACAAAGGTTGATGTGATAACTGCCTGCAACATCATCGCCGATATTATTGAAATTCTAAAGGCCCTTCATGAATATGGGTACATTCATAACGATATTCATCCTGGGAATATTGTAGATGTTAATAGTAAATATCGGCTGATAGACTTTGGGTTTTGCCATCCCACTCTCCAAGAAGAGAGATAATATCCCTAGTAGTTGGCCAGAAGGCCATGTAATATTTGCCTCTCATAATAGAGGTAAGTGTCTCGGAGCCGGAGATGACTTGGAATCCCTTTGTTATACAATTGCATTTATGTACGATTCGAACAAGGCATATTGGGACACTGTCACCAAGGATCCATACCAGGCCGTGCATATAAAAGAAAGAAAACTCACTTATCTGTTTGACGGGCT